GCAGGAATTCCCTCGCTGGCTGCTGGCACTTCTGCTCCATCTCACTGATCAGGGAACTGAAAGAAGATATTTCCTCAGATAATTTGGCAACATACTCAGCCCTCTCTTTTTCAATTTCCTTATTCAGCTCTTCCAGCTGGGTCAGGCGGAGTTGCTCTTGTTCCTCCAAAAATTGGCGCAGTTGCTGAAATTCAGACACAATCTTCTGCTTCTCAGTTTCTAGCTGTTTCTGAAATGAGAAGATGCGAACAGGAAAAGCACAGGTCAAGGACAAAACTACGGAGTGAGCCATGGGACATTTTATGCACGTGGCAGCATGTCATTGCGACCCCACAGAATTTAACTTCTGACATTTTATGGAGAACATACTCTATGCTCAGACAGAAGATTTTCCAATAGATTTTTCAAGAGTCCTAACTGGTGTTTAGAATATGCATTTTTCTTGCATAATTCAGATAATCTGTGACCAGTGGTTTCTAGAAAACCAGATCCTTCCAATCACAGGAAGCACAGCAGGTGTGGGATTCAGAACGGGACTGACAAGGATTATTTTAGTAGAAGAAACAGCAGAACCCAAACTAAGAAGCACTAGACTTGAACTGGGGAACACACGCTGTCCACAAAACACAGAGACATAAATGGCCTTTAAAAAAAAGTACCAAAATTTGAGCTCCATCATTTGCTCTCATGAGTTCTGAAAACAGTTTTGGATACATAAAATTTGTCAGACCATAAATCTTGGATTTTAAGCCACACAGGGACCTTGAGCACAAATTGGGCTGCTGGGAAGACCCCTTTTTGCACATGCAAATCTGAGTTTGCAGGTTGCTTAGGAATGAGCACATGTGAACTGGACAGAAGTCCACCAATCAGGGCCGGCTTTAGGCCAATTCCACCAATTCCCCCAAATCGGGCCCCGTGCCTAAGAGGGCCCCGCGTCCAGTGGCAGGGCTGCCTGGGTGGGAGCAAGTGGCCGAGAATCCCTTCCCTGGCTAGAGGCACCTTTTTAATTTTTACTCACCTGGAGGCGCTCCGGGTCTTTGGTGGCGGGTCCTTCAGTGCCACCGAAGACCCGGAGTCAGTGAAGGACGGATTGGCCAGCTGTGGTTATCTCTTCTGAAAGTGCAGCTGGCCAAAAATTAGGGGGTGGGGGAATTTGCAAAAATAATTGAAATTTCAAAGTTGTTTCCATTTCTCAGTTTTCAAAATGGAATTTCTTTTATTTGTTTGAAAAATATCTTGAAATAACTTTTGAAACATGTCACATTTTTCTTTCTCCCCTTTCCCAAAATGAAACAAAATAATGTTCATTTCCCCCCATTTTTCTTTTTAGAAACTTCCTCTCTGTACCTCTTCAAAAGATCTCCCAGTTTTGAAAAAGTGGCAAAGGGAAAAGGAAAAACGAAGGGGAAAAAACCTGGAAATTATATTCATTTTAGTTTTCAGAGTAGCAGCCGTGTTAGTCTGTATCCGCAAAAAGAAGAACAGGAGTACTTGTGGCACCTTAGAGACTAACAAATTTATTAGAGCATAAGCTTTCGTGGACTACAGCCCACTTAAAAAAGGACCAAAAAGAGAAAGAAAGAGATAAAAAACAAACATACGAAAGTGTTAAAATTTTTCAGCTTTTTAAAAGTAAAATGAAAATTTCAGTTTGAAATGACACAAAAATGTTTATTTCATTTTGAAATTTCCTCTCAAAAAATTGAAAAATTTCTTGCAAGTGACTTTTTCCCATGAAACAAGTTATTTTCTACTAAATCCCTTTTATCTGCAGAAAACTTTTTTGGTTGAAAATTTTTAACTAGTTTAGTTGAAAGACTAAAGGAGAAACTACTGTTAAGTAAACAAATTACACTCGAATTATCAGTGAAAATCTTTGGATGATTAAAACTCTTTCTTTAATTCTGCATTTTCCTGCTTACTCTCAATTAAAGCAGAAGAGTTTTTCTTTACAATGAAAATAAAGAAGTCATCGTCTTTCATGGATGAGACCATGTTACTCACTATTCCTCTGATGATACTCAGACAAAGCCGTGTGTTGATAATGACCCTGTGCACATTTGCGTCTGAGTAATAACGGCACCTACCAGCACTTCATGGCTTTTATTTTCCCCACTCAATTTAAATGACAGAATCGCGTCTCTCTCTTTCTTCAAAATCTCCAAACGGCTCCGAATTTGGTCCTAACAAAAGAAAAACTGGTTTAGTTTTGGTTGTTTTTGGAGGATTTCCTCCATTTATTTAATTTGCAAGAATCTCAAATACACAATAAAATGGGTGAGTGCTCTAACCACATGACTATACAGTCATTCTCATGCTTGTGGTCTCTCTCTCTCTCGCCCAGATGACTCTTTATCCCCAGTGGAATAGCTTCTCCAGGGGAGAGGGAGGGAGCCCCGCATCACAAGAGCCCATGGTTAGGGCACTCCCCTGAGAGATGGCAGATCCCTGTTCGAATCTCTTCTCCTCATCAGGTGGAGGAGGGACTTGAACCCGTATTTCCTACTTCCCAGGTGAGTACCCTAATCCCCGGGTTAAAAGTTAGGAAGGAGGCTGCCTCTGTGTGTATCAACTTGTGGGGCCTGAAGTGGCAGGTGTGCTCAGAGGCCACCTACTAGGTTGGGCCCCACACTCTACTTAAGCAGCCGAATGCCTGTCTTCCTCCAGACTGTGAATGGCTCTAGGGCTTAGGTGGGAAATAGGTGCCCAGATACCTAGCGGGAGGCAGCACTGCAGTGTGCATGCTTAGAAATATTGGGATGGTGTAAAAGCTGGAATGAGCCAGAAAGGCCCAGAACAACATTTTAGTCAATAAAATTGTTGCAAGAACTAGGCAGTACTTTTACAGACAGTTAAGAACAATATTTTAGTGATGAGAACAGACTCGTAACACATTGTACTCCTGGGGGAATTCTGCGCCACTGCGCAATGCAGAATTTTGCAGAAATTAATGTTGGACAAGAAAATTTCCTTTTCCCCCACAGAAATGGGCTGCAGAGATGTTGGCCACCACTAGGGGCTGCTGGACTTGGCAGAGCCCAGCTCGCAAATAGAGACAATGCCGGGGGAGGGACCTGGAGTGTTCCCAGCAGCTGTTGCAGTTGCCAGCATGAACTGAGGATGGACGGGAGCAGCAGGAAGCAGGAAACTCTGTGCAAGCCGGGACCCAGCATCAGGCTGTTTCTCCTTCTGGATCCCTGGGCTCTGGAGCCATAAAGTCTGTGAGTGTCTGGGCCAGGGAATGTGTCACGCTGGGCTGTGGGGGAGGAGGCAGAGAAGCAGGAACTGGGTTGTTGTCGGGGTTTCTTTAACTCTCTACTCCTGGGGGAAGTTTTTTGTGTCTGTATTGTTCCAGACATACGTGCTGATAGGTATTTTGAAATAAATTACAAAAATAATTGAAATTGGTGTGATTGTTTAGTGTTATTTTGACAAATAAAATTTGCAGAATTTTAAAATATCGTGCACAGAATTTTAAATTTTTTGGTGCAGAATTCCCCCCGGAGTAACATTGTCATTAACTCATTTTGGCTCAAAAGCATTTTTAAACACCAAAAAAAAAAAAAAGAAAACCCCAGAGACCCTGAGGACAATATTTTACCACTGATAACTGATTACTAGCATGATGTTATTAACCCGTTCCAGCCCAGAGCCAGTTTTTGAAGGCTAATAGGAAACAGGAATACACAGTTCTGAAGTGTCAAAGGGACAAAATGTATACATATAGCACATTATCTTTAGGACAATAGTTTAGGAATAAAAACTGATTCACAGCTGACTGTCATTAACCCATTCCAGCCCAGAACCACTTTAAAACCAAGGAGGAGCCTGAACAGTCAGTTCTGAAGTGGCTCAGGGGACCAGTTTTACATACAGCACATACAGGGGAGACTGATACGATGCTAATGAGAAACTCGTCTGAACCAACCTTTAACCCGGGTTTTCGGGGGATAATTCGCTTTATTACTAAACCCACCCAGAA